ACTGTTAGATGCGAGTAAAAAAGGGGAAATTTCCCTCCATCACCATCATATGCATTAATTAGAGAAGTGACTTCAGACTCGTCTGGGGAAGAGAAAGAGAAGGGCAGTTTCGGTTTTTTTGTAAAATACCATCTGCTTTTAGTATAAAGCTGACGTGGAGGAGGCTTAAAACATTAAAGCCCATTTTTTGGGGCTATTCCACATGGGGCAAAGTACAGGGGGGAAAGTACAGGGGGGCTAGTCACACGAAGTTCCCACTTTTGGGGCCTGGACACATTTTTCCCTATTTTTTTTGAGCAAGTATATATTCTAATGTGTTTCATTGAATGGAAATCAACGCATTAGGAAACCCCATTTGACAAGTTAATATCCTTTTTATTTACCATTGAAAGAATTTTTTTAAAGGAAAATGATAACTACGCTATAATTAAATGTACACTACATTCTACACTAGGCCTAGGTGGCGCGCAGTTGGCCCCGCTGAGGTGCATTCACTGTACTTAGTTATCATTAATTGCTCATAATTGTCTTTTATGATGAAAAGTAAAGCTGTCAAAAACATCACCTTTCTAAAAAGAAAAATGCCTCACCGAAAATAGGATAGATCATGCCAGCTCATTATGCAATTAGAGGGGGACACCTCACATGCCCCCTCTATTTGTCCCATTTTCGGGTTCGTGAGGCATCCCCCCTCCCAACCCCTCCCCTATCTGTCCCATTTTCGAGTCCTTGTAAAAGCATCCTTCTAAAAATACTTGCTCATCTTCTAGTTTTTTTTTCCCTCTTGTATTTCCAAAAATACTTATCTATCTTCGAGTTCTTTTCCTCTTTTGTTCCACTATACCTCTCTCAAACCTATGAGCATGAGGTAGCAGTGTGTAAGGGATTAATTTAAAGAGCCATGTTGGAATAGTTCGATCCAATGGTTCTGGGGCCGAGTAGTCACCGTGAAACGAGCGGGCGTCGGGCTGATCAAGGGACATAGTCGATGCAATCCTTGATCGAGGAGGGCCAATACAATGATATTGTCCACAAATTTCAGATTTTTTTTAAGCATATTTGCTATTTATTATGGACAAAATTGTATTAGTTTTCAATAGTAACAAAATTTATAATTAGGTACCTGCTTGTTCTTTTTTCTTAATTTGTCGATGAAGTAGAAGAACTCGACCGCTATTTTTTTGTCAGTGGTAACAAACAGAGACTCTAATCTGTTTAGTGCTGAAGAAAAATAACTCCAATTAGATACTTCTCTTCTTCTTGCGATCTTTATTTTTCAATAGTAACAACTAGAATTCGGATCCCTTTTCGGATGAACATGGAACGAATTAGATGCGCTAGAAGATGAAGAGGCATTTTTAGGTAATTAATATGATACTATAATAGGCTTTTTAATTGTTGGCATTTTCACTTTTCGAAAAAAGCAATAAATTATGTACAGCCCAGCGGTGCCATGTCAATCGTAGTGTGTAATGTAGTGTAAATTTGTAGTGTAGTTATCACTACTCTTTTTATAAATGGTGTCTAAATTAGACATACACAAGCTGTATGCATTTAGCTAAAGTGAATTAAACACCGTTCGATTTAGATTCGAATTCGAGGTAAGATTCTCTTCTTTCTCGTGGGATTTCAGATTGCATTGGATCTTAAATTTTTATTTTGGAATTTTACTTTGAGGCTTCTTTTTTGAACTTTTATTTGGGGTTTATTAAGTGACAAAATACATTTTGCTCCACAAACCCTCTAGTACATATTTACCTGTAATAATCAACAGAGATCAACATGACCTATAAATTGGGTTTCTTATGCATTTTTTATGGTAGGAAAGTTCAAATTGTGAGATGACAGAGACTCTTCATGCGGAATCATACCAATAATCTCCCCTGAAAAAAAAAAGGTGTTGCGTTAACGGTTGGGATTGAATACGATAAAGAAGCAATTGTCAAGGCCCGGCCCGCTTATTTTAAGTACTTGCAAAACTTATTTCTCGTTTCCATACAAGACAAATTTATTTGCTGCATACGTTTAAAAACTGGGATCTGGTAATTTCAAAATAAACATGTGCATAAGATTAATTATAAGTTTATATATACAAGATACAATGTAGAGAGATCATACGTCTCGAATATTTTGTCCTCGTGTTTTTAAATATGTATCATCCCTCATGCTACTAATTTATCAAGCTAATAATTTATCATGGTAAAAGAAAAGGTAAAGAAATTATGCCTATACAAGAATAATAAAGACATCAAATAGACGTACCTACTGCAGGAAACAAAGGAGATTATGGTACAAGAGGAGAAACTGCTTAAAAAATTGATAAATATTACCATTGAATCAAATGCACAATATTACTAAAGAAAAACAATGGAGACAGCAAAAAGACTTACCTGTTGAATGAGAAGAAGTTTTTATGCTATGAAAATTGTGTAATTTCTTGTGGCTTATATATAGTTATGAAAATTTACTTGGCTGATGATGATACATAGGATTAATATCAATTATCAAAAAGTTTAGCTATAAGTAATTCACATGGAATTAGTATAGGATAAATAGCCTTTGGATAACAATTTATACGTAGTTCATGAATGAAAGGAGTATAATTATATAGTCGAGTTATTTTCAAATCCGTATGATTATATAGAATGAATAGTCTTTGAATAACAAAAGTTTATCTTGATATACGTGCAAAATTAAAATCAATTTTAAAACTGTTCAGTTATTAGGATTAATTATTGAAAAATACCTCACGGATCCGAAAATGAGACAGATAGAGAGGGACAGGTGAGGTGTCTCCTTCTGTATCTCATTATGCAATTAAGAGAGCTATCTGTCTCATTTTCGGGTCCCTGTAGAAGCACCCTTAATTATTTTTGTATAACAAAAGCTTATATTCAATTAAATAAATAAAGTTGTCATCAATCCGTATGAATTTTTCTTTCCTTGCACAATGATAATAGTTTTTGAAAGTTAGATTATGAAACCATAGAATGTTTTTCTTAATCTCACACTTTTATAAGGAGTATGATATGATATGATAATATTTAATATATTTTAATTAATATAACATATTAATCATTCTTAATATAATATGCTACAAAACACTATTAGTTAATATACTATATCTATTACAACATAATATTATGTTGTTGGTGAAGTTTTAATACCATTCAAATAATATAATATATAGCGATTTTGCTATATTTTAATATGTTATAGTAGAATAATATAATATATTAATATTATTATCTTATAATAATGTATTATATTTATTTAATATTATATAATATGATATAAAATAATATATAATATAATATAATAACATAATAATTCAACAAAATTAAATTTATTAATATATCCATACCGGTGTATTATATAATAAAACATAATATTTGAATATTAATATAATTTATTTAACACAACATAACATAATGTAATTAATATAATATCATATATTATATTATAAATATTATATTATAATATATTGTATTACAATTAATATATATATATAATAAATTATATTATATTTACATTGTGATATAATAGTTATAATATTATATATTATGATAATTTTTTATTGTAGTTAAATAGTTAATTATAATATGATATGTAATATTTTATATAATATAATATAAAATGATGTATTATTATTTATTAAATAGTGTAATATAATATTATATTTTATTAATTTATTATATCTTGAGAAAAGTATTATATAATATATGATAATATATTGGCAATAGTTAATATAATATATTACAATTTCTTACTGCCAAAACTAGTAATATATTACTAAATTATATCACAAGTAATGCTGTTAATAAATTATATATATATATATATATATATATATATATATTATATATATATATATATATATATATATATATATATATATATATATATCATTAATTTTCTTGAGTAACAAACTAGTAATATATTATTAATATTATATTACAGTTAACAATAATTAATAATATAAAATACTTATTCTAATATAACACTCTATTTAATATTTTTATATTAATTATACACCATCTAATGCCTTGTAATAAAATGTTGTTAATTTAATTTGTTATATGATAATATAATAAATGTATGATAATATATTTTAATAAATAATATAAAATATTTTAACATAATATAATATTAAATACTATATTTAGTTAATGTAATATATTTAGTTTTTTAAATATAATATTATACTTTTTATTAATAAAACAATAAAATATAATAATATAGATAAATATATTATAATGTGTTTAGAATATAATTAATATAATATATTATCAACATTTTCAATATAAACAATAATGGTATAATAAATTATAAGATAATATAAAATAACATTATAATATATGTAGGAAAAAGGTCAAACTGACTTTGACAAAACGAACTCATCTTGATGTTTTAGAAATGTTGAAGAAAAAACACTATAGTGGATGTTTTCTAAGAAAAACACTACAAAAGAATCACTATGGTATCCATACACACCTCCAGGCATTTCAATCAACATACTCCCGGTACAATTTCAAGCTAAAAATTTTATAATGACAGGATAACAGCTGCATCTACAGAAGTGATGATACTTGACAAAGATTTCTTGCACTTTTTAAGCTAGAGGTTTTACATCAGCTTTGTAATGGATTTAGATCCTCTAAATTATCGAAAAAATAGTGGAGAGACCACCACATTAATCATAGCCATTGATTTACGTAATGGATAGTTATGGTTCGTTCCATATCTAGCAGTAGCACACATCATACACCTACGAATTGCACTATTTTTTCTGACTTACACTCCAAAGACAAATCATAACCATCTACTAAACAAATTAACGGTTTTGATATTGTAGTGGTCTCTCAACTGCTTTTTGATATTGGAGAGAATCTAAATCCGTAACATATGAAGACACATTAGACTGTCATTTGTACAAACAATAGCTTTGGATTGTCAGACCTGAACACAAAAAGGAAATACTTGCCACATTTGGCTTGGAGAATCAGCAATGGATCTTCTCAAAGAATTACTTGTATTTCTCCAAAGAATACATATGGGCTGAAGCCGAAGTACTTTACAGACATTATTCCAATCGAAAGCAAAGGGGCACAAGACCTACAATGTACATTTTAACTTAAATTATGGAAGTCTTATTTATGCTACAAACAACTGCAACACATGTACCAAAATACATCCTCTCACTTATAAATTAGACGTGAGAGCACTTTACAATACCTTGTTCACCAATTAATCACATTATGAAAACTTCCGCAATGGAGGAAGAAACATTATTGCTTCCAGGGCCCAGGCATCAAGAACTTGATATTGGTCTGGATATTGACCATGTAACTTATGGAACTTAACAACATGTTCACACTGTTTTGGCGACTCTGGAACCAAATAAAATAAGAAAGAACAAGAATAGAGTGCTCAATGTCACCGTTGCATGTGTCCTGAATTGATCCATTGTGATCGAGAAGGGGGCCGTGCAATTTCTGATACCGATGAAGGCCGTCGTGAGTCGTCAGATTTCTTCCTCTCCTAATCATTTGAATAAAAAATACTTTCAATGGAAGAAATGCAAATAAAACAGGTATAAACTGAGTCAAACAAATGTTAATTAAGATGAATAGGTCTAGTATGGAGGTTTTTATCAAACCAAGAATCCTAGCAGTGATTTTGGGAATGATCATAACAGCAAATCTGAGTATTTGATACCATACAATATGAAAGGCACACAAAATCTGAGTGCTCAGATTCAATTGACAAATTACACGTTGAACTTTGGCACTTCATGCGTTTAAAGTCCCTGATCTTTGACAAGAATTATCCAATGGAACTTGTAAAGATAATCCTCTACTTCAATACTCTTTTGCCTATTGCAAGCTGATCATATATAATTGCTGGAAGTATATGTGCATTAGAGAGGAAAAGGTTATCCATTTGAATATCATATATTTACTCATCTTCTAGGCTTCATATTTTTTAGTTCAGGAAAAATTCATTTGGCTGCTCCAGGGCTGCACAAGCTGAAACTCCACGACCAATAAGGTAGAGTTCCTCCATCTCCATACTTTCTCCATTTCCATTCATGAGCTTAATGGGGTAAATGAAAACATAAATGAAGAGGAAATAAAAAAAGGAAATCTGTAGGAATTGATTTGGAGTCATCAAGAATTTAAAAATAAAAACAAAAACAAAAATAGAAACAGAAACAATTGCACAGCGAAACTTATACATGCAGAAGATAGAATGAAGTTGAAGCTAAACAATACGAAATGAGGTTCGAGTAGGATCTAGTGAGTCTCAAGTATGATCCACTGAGATGCGAGTGTTCTGTAGTATATACTTACTTTTCCTTTCAGCTTTAATCTTCAACTGTAATTAAACTCTAATCCTCAATTGCAACTGAACGAAAGACCAAACTTAACCTCCTCATTTTCTTTTCCTCCAACAGTGAATATTAGAGCCCATATACACTAACCCATGCAAACTAAACAGGTTCTAATATGTCTTTCTACTTAGCCTCAGACAACAGCAAGCCGAACGTTAATAGAAACCATGCACCCAACAATATTTGATGATTTCTGCCAACGATTAAAAAAAAAGTTCACACCTGCGACCCCATGGTGGATGATAAAGATCGTGACTGAGACTGTGATTTCATATGCATCCTATGTAGGCGTTGCATGTGCTCGAACTGCTGTAGCCTAGATGGAAAGTTGATTACATTATCATCTTGGTTCCTGTTCCCATCTTCATTACCATGTAGAATCTGAAAATACGGGTTCCCTGACGATGTACGCTTCAGTTGTTCGCCACTGAAAGTATATGATGGTACAGTTTTTAATCGAGTCTTTAATATCTTGAAGGCTGCACTTTGCTGCATAAATGGATGGAATTTTAACATAAACTGAGCATTAAGGAATGGGAGGAAATAATGTCTGAATATACATTGTTGTTGATTCATGATGTAATTACAATAGCTATTTCGGCATACATATAATTATTCCAAGTTAAGTAATTGGCGTATCTTGAGCAAACTCAAATCAGGATACAACCACCATTCTTACATACTAGTTCTTATATAAAGACACATGTACAAGGAACTAACATCCTACCATTCTTGTACACCATCCATGAAGCTTCCTGCAATAATTAGTTCCATTCAAACTATTTCTGACACTATCTGATCTCCTCATTGCTAAAGAGAATTATACATGCTTATAAAAAGATTTCTTTAAACCAAATAGAGACATAACAGTAAAAGTTTATGCCGGAACCACTCCCACCCGAACTTAGACAATGTCTTCATGGGTATCTCACAACAAGTAGAAACATCGCAATAAAAGTTTATGCTAGAACCACTATCACCCAAAATTAATGTCTTTATGGGAATCACACGACTAGTAGAAACATAGCAGCAAAAGTTTTTGCTAGAGCCACTCTCATCCAAACTTAGAGAATGTCTTTGTGAAAAACAGAGATTATTTGGTTGATGAAGATGATGAAGATAAAGATGATGAAACCCCTATAGACTAGAAATACTAAACCATGTTAAAACCTTAGCGTACCCCTGTATCATGTAGATTTGAAAATTTTAATTATTCCAAGAGTATTCTGATTGTAGATATTTAACTTTTCTTAATTTTTCATATTAAGACCCCGTTTTTTAACCTTGACCAAGTTACATAATGGAGAAAGAGAGTATGCAAGAGTATGCATGAATCCCTTTCAAGATTAATAAGTAGATGTGCCCTGTCTATGCAGCAATGTAAACAAAATAGTTGTGTCAACAACCTGTGACTATTTCCTAACACAATCTACATGGTGCATATCAAGGTAGCTAAAGTTTTATTTAGTAAAAACAAAATCTACTATGTGCCCAATGAACTAACCTGGGGCAGTAGCATCAAAAGACCATACAAGGCTGTCAGCAACCATGTGAATTTTCCAGGTTCAAGGAGCTGCAGATCGACAACATATAATAAACACATAATACAAAAGAAAAGGATAGTGTACAAGACATTAATCTGCTAAGTAATGGGAAACGAGTAAAACACCATTCCACTTGTTTCTGAAATAAAGAAATGAGATCCAAAAGTATGAGAATAGCCCCAAGTATATTTGTGAAAATTAATTTCCTTGGTTCTATTAACATATGCTTGATAGACCAAATACTTGCATAATTATTGCATGAACACTAAAAAGCAAGTTGCTATTCTGCTTGAATCTTGCAAGCAGTATACTTCTGATAAAGGAAAAAGAGAAAAACAAAACGAAACTACTAATTTTTATATTGAAGATGACCATGGATAAACAAATATGCTTGTCCTCAAAGTTTTCACAATATTGCAATTAAGTTATATGCGTGAAATTTCTACACGTTACATTCAAGCAAAAAAATACTTTGCAAGAATATGTTTAGACACAACAAAACACATTCGGGCACAGAAAACACTTTGCAAAAGATGCTTAACAGTACTCACCATAAACCCACCCCCACTCCTGCCAAACGCCTGACTTCCCACATTACAAGACACACCTCTATTAGTTGTGAAAGCAAGGCAATTTACATGCTATTACACCAATACCTTACAATCATCGAAGCAACACACTTCTATTAGTCGCAAACGTAAGCCACAAAAAAAAAATCATCCCATGTTAGAGCAGTCTTCTTCACCTATTGCTGAAGTCTAATAATAAAGGGTTGGTAATTTCCTTCAATCGAGTTGTAATAAACGTGAATATGGAACAAACAAAGTTTATGATGGGTAAATCAGTAGAAAAAACACATTCAGTGTTCAACTTTACCAGTGACCATTCTTAGATAAAAAGGAAAAAAGAAACATTTTTTTAATTTATTTAGAATCACTGTATTTTCATAGTCGCTGCTTATATTGCTTATTTAATAATCACAGTACAACTACGTTTTCCAATTTACCATGGATTTCATATAATGTATTTAAATTAAAGCATAAATTTTTTTACCAATGCTTAAATCAAACATAGGGAAATAGTATTAGCATCAGATAGGTTATCTAATATTGAAAGCATTTTTGGAGATTCAATTGAGCAGTTTCAGGACACCATGGAATAAGACGCCAGTCCTTGAAATGTAGGCATTCTCACAGAGGTTTTAACTGGAACTCTTTCTGTGTAATTTCCATAAATACAGAAATAGAGAAAAGAGGCAGGAGTGTGCACAAAATGATATGCTTGAACCACTTAATTGGATGCATCAAAATATTATGGATGATTGACAGAGTTATTTGATTCAAATAAGAAGAACAATGTCTTCAGAGGGAATACGTTAGATCCTCATAGTCGAGATATCAGAAATATTCCACTGATGATCCATGCAATGCAAGCAAGTCTCTCTGTACCTGAAGTACCCATTGAACAATGTATTATTGCTTTCTAGCAATGCTAAACAGGCTTGTATAACTTCCTCTGATGATTGAACCAATGTGCACACTAACTTATGACTGGAGCGATTTATTTGTTAACATATGCACTTACCATCCTTCAGGTGCCTTTTAGAAAGATCAAAGAAATGGTTTTGGCTTGTGGAGGAGGTAGAAAGGGAAACTCTCAATAGTGGATTTCCTTGCAAAACTATTCCCCAAAACAAAGGTAATACAGTGCATTTTCCAGAGTAAACCTTCGATATTTGATCTTTGTTTAAGAGAACAAGTTTAGAACTTCTTTTATTATTAAAGCAGCCTAAATTCAAACACAAGTCTACTCAACTTTATCTGTATACCATTATGGATACTGGATAGTCTTAAAAGGAAGAAGAAGCTGTTAAAGTGGTATAAAACGAGCAGTAGAGTTGGTAAAATCATGTTTTTTGTGTTGAGCAGTTCAAATGACATCTAAAAATTACGTCCAAAACTGTTACTGGAGCTTCAATAGAAGTGCAAGTACTAAGCATGATACACAACTCTGACTTGCTAGGTTACATAGGTGCACATATGGGACACAGCAAATTTGTAAAAGACAGGACATTGGGACACGGCTATACATAACACGCACGCACACAGGCGCGCAACCGCACGCACACACAGGCGCGCACACGCGCACACACACACACATATATATAGACACACACACATACATACACAAACACACATATGTAAATACATATGTATATACACACACACACACACACACACACACACACACACATATATATATATATACATATATATATATATATATATATATATATATATACATAAATACATGTATATACACACATATACACACACACACACACACTTATATACACACATATATACATATATATATCTTCCCATTCTCAAATTCCCAAATGAAACAAAACCCTTTGAAACCTTCCTTTGTACTACAAAAAAGAAAAAAAAAACCCAAACTCCAACTTCTCCAAAGCTACCATATGCTATCCATGTGTTGTCATCTCTATCAGGAAAAGACAAAGTCAATAAAAAAAGACGAAAAAACCGAAACTCCAACTTCTCCAAAGCTACCATATGCTATCCATGTGTTGTCATCTCTATCAGGAAAAGACAGCCAACAAAGCAAAAACCTACTATCGTGGTCAAAGATCCCTCACATTACCACCATGTGTTAGTGATGCCATGTTCCATTCACACAATAATAATAAAAATAAGAGATTGAAATTCTTCACCTCTTTTCTCTATCCTCAAACCCATTACAGCTAGCCGTTATGGGTTATCAAGTATAAAAATCAAACCAATTGCCAAATAAATCACTTTTTCCCATCTTAAATCTCTTCTCACGTGCGGGAAATTTTTCCTCCGTGTCCTTGCCATTTGGGTGCGGAACCGCACCCAAAACATACCCAACAATGGCAGCATTTTTGGCGTGTCCGGATAACATAGATGACACGCAACTATCATCACCGGTCGTTAAAAGTCAAAATTTTGACGGTGAAGGACTGCATCAGTTTTATTTAACGAATAGCACTATCCAATGACAGCTGTAAGAAATTAAAAAAATTCTGCTGTATCATTTTAATGAAATAATTTCATCATGGTAGGAAGTGTAGGAAGTAGGAACTTCCCTAGAATGTTACAACTTACGAGCTAAAGGGAGGAACTTGAATATAATGCTCTCCAGATAGGTAAGTCAATGGGACGTTGTTACCCTCCAGAATTCAACATGAGAGTTATTACAGAGATTTGAAGAGCTTTTCATTAGTCACCTACTCAGAGACTGCCAAGGGATGCTGAGAAGGAAATTCTGAAATGTTCTAATGAGATGTATCTAGAAGGGAAAACACATTATATACTTTTTTATATCTAGAAGAAAAATAGATACTTCCCCAGAATGTTTGCTGACAAGTATCACAATTTTTATTTAACTTTGCACAAAAAACCCTAATGCTTTTTGTTTCTCTTATGATCCCTGCATATGATGACAATGGTAAGAGAGAATTACCAAAATGAGCCAGCAGCGAATTACATGTGTGTGTGTTTTTTCCTTTCATGGACTAGAATTTGTCGGATTGAAGACATAGTGACTTGGTTATGAATTCATTAAGCAGGTGCAGATTTAGGGTTAGAGGGGTAAGGGATTACGTATTGATTCAGTGTTAAGATTTTACAAACTAAACGAAGAAAGCGAGAAAACAAGTTGAGTTTAAATATTTGAATGTAGATAAGTCTAATAAATTTAAAGACGAAAACAGAGAAGATGTGTTGTCAGAGATAGGGTTAAACATCTGAAGAGAAGAAAACATTTCCATGAAGGGTTTCAATGAGTCCATAGAGGTGGTTTCTTATTGAATGTACATAAGACAAATCCATACAATTTTTCAATCATTACGAGAGCTGTGTTTTAACCTGTTCGTAGACAAGTTTTGGAGTTTTCCCAAATCGGTATTGATGGATTTGAGACAAGCATGAAAATGAAGCAAAGATTTTTTGAGCTAGGACTAATTGTGAAAGACTTTAAATTCACATTTCAAGGAAGCCAAGGACTTCAGAGAATAGAGAGTTGGATGTGTACATGGAAAGGAGTTCAGTAGAGCATCTAGAACATCAGTTTCTTCCAGGACTTCTTTATGTTAATATTTTGCAGGCAAGTGAATCTTCTATTGTCCCCCCACTGTATATGTCATGCTTATGCAGCTACGCTGATATAGATCATTGCACAAAAGATTCAGAGTGTAGTATGTCATAGGTATAGGCATGATTCACCACCCCAAAAATAAATAAATAAATAAAAACACAGGCAAGACTCCAATGGAAGAAGAGAAGATTGAAGACTAAATGACTAATGGACGATCGATCCATACCTGCAATCTTAAGTAAGCAAATATTGGAGTCTCCAGAAGGCGGATCAACTTATCAAGCTGAACCAAGAACTTCACATTTATGTCTTCTTCCCCCAGTGACTGAATGACAGCGCTGGCATGACGATATGCCTTAATATAGAAAAACTCCTTAGTAAGAAAAGCGTTCTGGAAAATTCAGAAGTTGACAAATTAAAATAATGCACACCTGAGCAAGAAGACACAAGCTTATTGTTGCCATTGGCGAGTGGCACCATGAAGAATACAGTGAAAGAAATAAATCCTTGCCAGCAGAATTCACCAATGATTGTTTTAGAAGAGCTCGTAGCTCAGCCAGCTCAGATGAAGTCAGTAAAATCAAATTCAGGGCCTGAATTACAATATTGATAGCATATTAGGCTCTTTTCTTCTCTCTTTTGGCTTGAAAGCAACACTAGACCTAGAAAGTTGTTATTGGGAAAACCTGAACCATGATGGATGCAAAATCTAAATCATCTTCACCCTCAAGAATTGTAGAAAATTCACGGAAAACACGTTCCGCATCCAAAAGGACACAAAGCCGACGTACTATAAGAGCACCACGCCTGAAAAGTAACAGATAGGCTTTACCTCTGTTAAAAGTTAAAAGCAACAGTACTCTTAAAGTGCTTTTTCATTCTTTTTCAGTGACAACCATGATATCTTAATAATAAGGAAAAATGAAACAAAAAAAAAGGCTTAGGGAAAATGAAGACAGCAAGAACAGGACGAGAAAACATACTTTTCAAGCAGCAAATGGTCAGAGCGAAAATTATGAATTAAGAAAACGACAAGATGGCGGAAGTGCTGAGCATCTTTCGCAATGCATGCGTGAACTTCTAGTACCAGCAAAACAACCTACAGGTAAACATGATTAAAAATCTCAAGTTGGAACACATTTTCATGGAAGAATAGCAAGTTCAAAGTATAAAAGATCATTCAGGTACAACATAACCTTACTGATTACGGACTTGATATATATTATGTAAACACATGCAATGACAAAAAAGAAAATAGGCAGAAAAGAGAAAAAGCATGTAACGAGCAACTCAAAGAAGTTGCAGGTAATATATAAAAGCAGTCCCATGAAAAGCTCAGAAACATCCAAGCGTATAATAACACAAAGAGTGAATTGGAAAAGGAAACAAACTAGAAGAAAACACACACATTAAATAATGGACCTTCTGATGAGAAAAATCTGGTCCTTCTCTATCTCCAGATGTCCAACCCCTATTGCTAGACAACTAACACTCACTGTGACCAACTTATGCCTTCTTGGGCAGGCTACATGCATGGATAAACATTGGAGGTCTCTGTATCGATGTCCAACATATCTGCAGAGCCACATGCAAGAAACATGTCCGATATTTCCAGTGTATGTCAAGCCCTGACACAGCTTGGAAATAGTTGGATATCTAATAACTGGTTTTAGTTTTAGTAGTTTGCGTTATTGGAGATTTAGGGTTAATATGGAAATGCATTCACATATCTTTTGGTATAAAACTTGAGGATACATTATTTTTAATCTTAATTGCTTATATGATATATAATAAGATTATTGTATGACAATCCGCGAAGTATCTGGTAAATCCTAGTTTTTTAAGATTTGGCAAATCTCCAGACTTGTACCTTGTTGTGTCCATATCCTGTATTCATGTGTAAAATAGTGGTGAGGTTTTAAGGGAGCTTCACTTACTCTCCAAGATAATTCTGCACTATCCTATTAGGTTATGTCCTTATCCCTTCTGATACCCATGTTTGCCAATGAGGCTTTAAGGGAGCCTCTACTGCGCATTTACCTAAATGTAATTAAAATGAATTGTAATTTTATCGGGTGCTACATAATTCTTCTTTAACCAACATCCTTAAAAGGAACAAAGAAAATAACAAAAATAACAGATATGCGTTTCATGCAGCTGTGGGGAAATAGCCAAGAACAGATCAACAGGAGCAGCAGCTAGCTTGAGCAGTTTGGTTCACTAGGGACATATCTTTTAAAAAATTGATTACCATAGAAAAACCCAGTGCATAAGAGTCGCATGGAAGGAATTTTGTTCAGCATAGGCATATAAGTGGCCAAATACTAAATATATAAATATGTTCAGAAAAGCTTTATAAGTAATAAACCATGAGAAAAGAATACTTTTTTTCCCATATTGTATCCTAACTTGCTTGTATATACATATGGAAACATTAGAAGTTAATGAAACTAAAACTAAGAGAAGAAATTTACCTCATCAGAAGGATCTGATAGTGCTCTCAAAAGAGAATCGAAAATATCATTCAAGAAGGAAATCACCTGTACCAAATGAAAACAAGAACACTCAAACCAACACTAAGACTATCAAAATTCAAGAAAGAAACATTTTCCCAATAATATACTCTATAACTGGTTCATTGAAAGACTGTCAAAAAAGGACAACCTGTCATCCCCCAAAAACAAATGATCAACTGATTTACTACCATCAGAGCACAAGAAGAATTGTATAGATGATGAAAATGAGCCATACTTCCAAGAAAGAGCATAAGATTAATTATATTAAGTTTAATAGTTAAAAAAACTAAGTATCAAGATAAACCTAAAGCTAGCATAAAAATATGTCAATAAGCAATAAAATCATAAAATGCACCCTTAAATATAAGCACTTGTATTTACTGAACAGTAAAGGTTTTTATGTTCCATTGTATATGAATATGCATGTGCATGTATGCAAAACAAGGTATAGCAATCTGTAGATGAAAAATATTGATGATGGACAAACCTAGTGTTCCTCCAACACTAAAGAAAACAGCTATGACCTCTAATCACTTAGAAGCCTGGACGTGAACAGGGGTGAAAGGAATCTCGCAGGAGCGGAGAAATAATAAGGTTGCTAGTCCAGGAGAAAACATACCTTATTTTTCAAAACCACTAGAATTATGCTACTGCATAGATTTTAGGATATATAAATCTCACAATTTCAGACGCCAGATTTTATAGCCTGCCATGCATTTGGGAGGTTAAAAGCATGTACGGAGTAAGAGTTTACACAGAACTAGGTATACCATAAAAAGTTGTCATCCATCCATACGATGCAGGAAAGAATAAGCATTAAGCAGATCTAGATCAAAAGCTTGGATCGCAAATAATTACAGCTCATGGAATTTTAAGTTGAGAAAGAGAAAAAACTTAAAAGCTGGCACAAAGAAGACCCAGCAAGCTTGCTGCTAAAAGATTGTGAGACCTAATAATGACATCATAGTTACACAATAAGCGGTACGAAGCGGGTCGTGGTATGAATTCGGGTGCGCAATTCGCCACTTAGAAAATTTGGATTTGAGGAGATAGACTGCTTCAGTACGCAAGTTTGGTACTTTGTATGTCATAATTTTTTTTTTTTTTTGGTGTGCTTATCATTTGCCAAAGTGTTAGTAGAAAACTAGAAACTAAAAAGCTCATTAAGCATTTCAAATTTTTCCATACAAAATACTTAAATGCTTCTTTTTTATGGTATTTGTCCTTTATTTAGATTGTCCTGCATTTCCAGTGAGTTTGTTTTTGTTTTTTGTTTTTTGTTTTTTGTTTTTTTAGTTCATCTTTTCTGTAATGTTTTTCTTTTCACATAGTTTGCATTAGGATGATGGTTTCATTTCATGTTCTATTAACATAGGTATTTAATTACAATAAAGTCATTGACTCATACATACTGTTGTGCTCCTCCCTTCACTTGATCGTGCACATCACATTAAGTCTTGCACGCGTGCACTGAAAGAAATTTGTGCTTGTAAAGCGGTAAGCCAATTTTGGGGGAACAATTCATGTATCGAATGGAATCAATTTGCAAGAACTATATGACGGTTCGAGGGGGAAACTACAGAATAACGCAATTATGAATGACATTGTAATGCAAGCTTAGCCAGCTAAAACTTTGGTCATGACGTGTTAATAATGTTCTGTCGAAAGGCTGTCTTGAACCAGTTTATTGCACAGGTAGGCCTCAGTCTTGATTGGCACTAAGCTCACTGATTCCACTAATTTGAAGGTCTGTGAGGATATTTAATTAGTTTCAGAAGGCATGGATCCCGCAGACTCACACAGAAAACAAATATCACTATTTAAGCCTTATCCAAAATATTAGAATTGAACAAAAACATACTACACAGGACTTGTTCATGAAGTATACAAGAAAATTGTTTCAATTAATTTATCGCCATCATCAAATGAACCATTGACGAACTTATTTTACAGTTCTCAAAAACCTGAAATGTGGAAAATAAATTTTAAAAGATCAACCAAAATAATGTTGGTGAATATGTTGACAGAATAAGTCAAGGCACTATCTCCTTGGAAATATACATTTTAGCTTGAAGATGAAACCGAAAAAGGATTACTATTTGCCTACAATTTTTCTTATGTTCAACGTACAATCAGATCACGTTATTCGAATTAATTTTCCTTCATATTTAGAAGGAAAAAGTACATATTATTTGAATTAATTCAGGGCCACATTAAGAAGGTGAAAACTCTATGATTGGTTTTTGAAGAGCATGTGGTTATCATGACAATCAGCCTACATAAACTTTTGTGAACCCTGATACCAAATCCAGAAAGGACAGATCCATCTGAATAATGAATCTTCCTGCTACCATCACAACTTAAAACAATGAATGGCCTCAACAAATAGGAAAAACCCATTACTGATAAGGAATTGTTGACTATAAAAAGAGGAATCAAAAAATTGAAAGATGAATGAATTTCTACTGAAATGACATGAAATCACCTCAGCTCGATGCCGGGTTAAAAGTGTTGCTATCCAATGCAATGCCTCAATCCTGGTAGCTTCCCATTCACTAGTTAATTGACTGTAAAGAATCATGTCATCAGGGTTTAACTTATGCAGCAGCAAATTACATACTGAGGCTTAACAATACTTCTGTGATACTGTAAAAAAGACTGCTTTGGGTAATTTTATACTTTTTAATTAAGTACAAGATTGTGTGCTACAGTATATAAGTAACCTTTACACCTAGTTTATCCAGTTGACCAGAAAAAAAATCACCTTCTTGCAATTGAGAGAATGGCTCCTACGTCAAATCCCTCACCAGGATCTGCACGTATAGTACGAAGCTCTTCATTGGTCTCACAAGCAACCTAAGAAAAATGAACATCAGAAGTCCGCAATACAATCTTAAACATGCAAGTTAGTGACAGACGTCCAAAAAATCAAATGACAAGAACTAGCCATACCACTCTTATCTTTTCTTCTTTGTCTGATATGCAGGGCAATATAGCTCCTAAAATATCTGCATAGTAAGGGATAAGCTGGTCTCCACCAAGTTTCACAAACTCATTTATCTGCATAAGTGAGCAGATGCAGCATAACAGTCTATATATCAAAAAACACCATATAAAATAAATTGTTTATCGTATTCCTTATTCTCTAGGACAAGTAAGTTAGAGAGCATAGAAGTCGTTAAAATAAGAAATCAAAAGGCTGGTTATTTCTCTTACCCAAGTAATAGATGTCAAACGGGTAAATGCATCAGGAGAACCTGCCCTCTGAACTAATATTTCAGCCATACGGCCATAATCTACATTCTTCAGAAAAGCATCAGTTTGAGTCAAAAAATTAAAATCATCCTATTAAATGTATTCATATAAAATGTCATGACAATTCAGAGATTTTCAGTATTTTAATTCAGAACAAGCCCAAAAAATGAGAAATCCACAGCTTATAACATACTAAACCAAAAGAAAATAAATGAATGTAGCTTCTAAAGGGACAAAAATAGACATTAGAGCTTTCTAGTCTGATTTTAAAAAAATGTATCGTGATGAACTTGTGTGAAAGGAAAAAAAAAAAGCTTACTGGAGAGTTCTTTATTTCTTGGAGAAACTCAGAAAGTGCAGAATCAGCTTGCTGTCTTATTTCATGGCTGGAATCACTTAACATATTAAATAAACCTGCAAATTTGTAACAAATTGTGTAAGATAGTGATTCAAAATGTAGACGCCGTAACTTTTCCTTGAGGAATATTCTACTTTAGAAACATTACCATCAAGAAAATCTGGAAGGAAACCCAGCATATCAATGTCAGGAACACTGTCCAAGACAGTGATCCATCCCACCAAAAATTGTCGTACATAAGGATTGAGAACATTCATGCGCTCTCTTAAAAGTGGTATAAACTCTTCTATGCTACATAAAATCAAGGAAATATAACAAAATGAATTCAGATTACTGTCCCCTTTGAATGTCAATCAAAGTAAAGCTAATGAATCAAAGTAATGCACCTGAATTGGTCGCTCTCTGTTACAATATCCTGGTTAGCAAAGTCCACATTAATACTTAATCAAGCTAACAGCTATGGATAAGCCTTTTTTCACATCAAAAGTCACAAATGACATCTAACCTTCACAAGACGGTCCAACAAATGTGCAGCACTCTGCACACTGGGGTCTGAATCAGCAGAAAGCTTACAAAGTGCATCAAATATCTGATTAAAGTACACAATAAAATCTCCCCTGACAACCTGAACCAGGAAGAAGATGAACTTGCGTATGATACAGAAGTTACACAAAAGACAATATGCAGCAAAAAGAGCCGCATACCTTTGCTATGTTATACAATGCTTCACAAGCATAATACCGAACTCTGCCATCTTGGTCAAGAAACGAATTGAGTACTGGCGGTACAATTTGCTGATAATTCATTACAACAGAAGGAAATATGTATTCAATAGATTATAAGGCAAAAACTGATAAGGAAATATAACACAGCCTAAAGATGCTCATCTGAAGACTAATATCATGACATATCAGGGAAGAAATCAAATTTGCAGCTATCTCAATATGAGAGCATAGATATTTGAACTGCTAGAAACATCATGCAATATATCTGCTCAATGGTAAAATCTAACTTGTATAGCATAATAGCACTAATGTTTCATCTTAACTAGCAGGATTGAGAACTTACTAGGAGAATGCTAAATTCTATCAATTCAATCATTTTAAAAGCATATTCAATAAACATGACAAGTTTATAGGTCGGTTAACAATGGGCTATATATAAGCTCAAGGCAAAGAATCTCACCCTCATAAATAATTCCACCAGAACTTAATTTTAGTAACTTAAGTTCAATCTCTTTTTTATTTGTTGATCTAATATTCAGGCCCCTCTTACAAAACTAGAATTACAATGGGTAACTGAAGTACATATTTGAGGTGTAACAAGGATTAAAGTTAGAAACTTAACAAGGATTATTTGAGGCTCGACTCTACAACTCAAGTGCATCCTGAACAAAAAAAGTTGAAGTCAAAGGAAGACATATATAGAAGTTTAATGGACTGGAACTACATAAACAGGTTCATTATGAAAATATCCTGTGCCCGCTTTAAATGTTTAACTAGAGACCCAAGCATGGAAACTACCAATTATAAGTTAAAAAAGACAAAAAAGAAAACATCAAAAAGAAAAATTATAGGTGTTCCTTCACGTTCGAGAAAAGCTATATTTGTTAAGGATATAGCATTGAGAGAAGTTGATGTTATTCTCGTTATAATAGGGATAATATATATAACATATAAAGTACAAGGGTATGTGGTTTAATATCCCAGGCAATGTGGGACTAACGTCTATACAAGAGAATATAAAATACTATATGAGGACAATATTGGGTAGTAGGTCATAGCCTTATAGGAGTATAAATATAGAGAATACTGATACTACCATATTTGTATTTGTTGTGTTCTGGTTACTATGGATATATCTGGAGATTAATAACATCATTAATACTAGGTAACAAATTAAGACTTGCATCCAAAAATAAGTTAATATCGTTTAATATAACTGATATCACAAGGAAAAATGAACTTATTATAAGAATGGACTAAAAGTAAGAGAAATAAAACTAACCTCAAGATGTTGGGCAGCTTCAGTTGTTAAACCAACGGTAGCTGCAGCAAGTCCAATTAATCCACCCTAAATAAAAATTCAATTTTTTTTAAGAAAAAAGATTAACTTTTTTCAAAGGGAACTAAATATAGAATACTTTCCTAAAAACAATAAATCTCCCAGAAACCAGAAAAGGAAACTTCTGACCTTTCTCTGATTAGCTTGCGGCGAGTAGGTGAATTCATTAGTCAACAAACTAATCACAGAAGAAATCTTATCGTGCTCTCCCGCTTGAGCCAGCTGCTTCACTATCCCCTCGATCTAACCCCCAATTCATCAAAATCAAACCAAAACCCAAAAAAATCATCAAATCAAATTGAGCAGAGACCGAATACCTCGAGCGCTGCATTCTTCCGCTTCTCGTAGAGCTTATCGGCGAGATTCCGAATAACTCCAGCAGGTATAATCGACAGAGCCTCGCTCGCCGGATCGAGATTGGATACAGAGTTTTCTCAAAACTTGGACAATTTAGGACGAATTACGTCACATGGAAATTGAATGGGCATCGATCGGAGAGGGAATTTGAAACCCTAGCCCTAATTCGAAATCCGAAAGGAAGGAGAAGACCATAGGGTCCAAGTGTGCCCCTCTCACGTCGCTGGCGTGCGTTTTCGTTGAGTTTCGTTTTTTTTTTTTTTTTCAGGAAATTACAGAGAGGATTTGTTTCGTAGAAAGGACACTAGAAATTATAGAATTACAATATAAGGACGGCAGAGACTGGGTTAGTTACGGGCTGTTTGGATGCATTGTTTAACAAGTAAAGTGCCACTAAACTCTAAAAAGGTGGGCCCTAATAGCAGCTCTCTTATTAGATAGCAGTTTTCTCGGGTTTCGTTTGAATATTATGATGTTTTGCTTATTTTCATAGTGATTTTGTCAAAAATAAAATACTATGCTTTAAGAAACCATGATGTATTTTAAGCTAAAAATTATACTCAAATTAAAAATATAACACTTATTTTAAAACATATTTTAGATGCTTTCGGTTTGGTATTTTGGTTTTGAGTTTGAGGAGGTGTTAATAATATCTAACATGGTACATTAAATATATTAATATAATATCTAACATGATATATTAAATATATTAATATAATATCTAATATGATATATTAAATATAATTAATATATAATTATTATTGACATACTTATTACGTTATCTATATTATATCATACTATAGCATATTAGTGATATTTATTAAATAATATAAAATATATTAATAATTAAAATATCTTATATAATAATACAATAACATATTAAATACTAATATTTAATATCTTGATAATGTATTATATAATAATATAGTTAAATTAATATAATAATTAACAATAATAAAATATAAATAAATTAATAAAAATAAAAAATGGTATTATATAAAATACTATATGAGGACAATATTGGGTAGTAGGTCATAGCCTTATAGGAGTATAAATATAGAGAATACTGATACTACCATATTTGTATTTGTTGTGTTCTGGTTACTATGGATATATCTGGAGATTAATAACATCATTAATACTAGGTAACAAATTAAGACTTGCATCCAAAAATAAGTTAATATCGTTTAATATAACTGATATCACAAGGAAAAATGAACTTATTATAAGAATGGACTAAAAGTAAGAGAAATAAAACTAACCTCAAGATGTTGGGCAGCTTCAGTTGTTAAACCAACGGTAGCTGCAGCAAGTCCAATTAATCCACCCTAAATAAAAATTCAATTTTTTTTAAGAAAAAAGATTAACTTTTTTCAAAGGGAACTAAATATAGAATACTTTCCTAAAAACAATAAATCTCCCAGAAACCAGAAAAGGAAACTTCTGACCTTTCTCTGATTAGCTTGCGGCGAGTAGGTGAATTCATTAGTCAACAAACTAATCACAGAAGAAATCTTATCGTGCTCTCCCGCTTGAGCCAGCTGCTTCACTATCCCCTCGATCTAACCCCCAATTCATCAAAATCAAACCAAAACCCAAAAAAATCGAAACCCCTAGAAGTGTCTCGATCCGATTCGGATCGAGATTGGATACAGAGTTTTCTCAAAACTTGGACAATTTAGGACGAATTACGTCACATGGAAATTGAATGGGCATCGATCGGAGAGGGAATTTCCATCGAAACCCCTAGAAGTGTCTCGATCCGATTCGGATCGAGATTGGATACAGAGTTTTCTCAAAACTTGGACAATTTAGGACGAATTACGTCACATGGAAATTGAATGGGCATCGATCGGAGAGGGAATTTGAAACCCTAGCCCTAATTCGAAATCCGAAAGGAAGGAGAAGACCATAGGGTCCAAGTGTGCCCCTCTCACGTCGCTGGCGTGCGTTTTCGTTGAGTTTCGTTTTTTTTTTTTTTTTCAGGAAATTACAGAGAGGATTTGTTTCGTAGAAAGGACACTAGAAATTATAGAATTACAATATAAGGACGGCAGAGACTGGGTTAGTTACGGGCTGTTTGGATGCATTGTTTAACAAGTAAAGTGCCACTAAACTCTAAAAAGGTGGGCCCTAATAGCAGCTCTCTTATTAGATAGCAGTTTTCTCGGGTTTCGTTTGAATATTATGATGTTTTGCTTATTTTCATAGTGATTTTGTCAAAAATAAAATACTATGCTTTAAGAAACCATGATGTATTTTAAGCTAAAAATTATACTCAAATTAAAAATATAACACTTATTTTAAAACATATTTTAGATGCTTTCGGTTTGGTATTTTGGTTTTGAGTTTGAGGAGGTGTTAATAATATCTAACATGGTACATTAAATATATTAATATAATATCTAACATGATATATTAAATATATTAATATAATATCTAATATGATATATTAAATATAATTAATATATAATTATTATTGACATACTTATTACGTTATCTATATTATATCATACTATAGCATATTAGTGATATTTATTAAATAATATAAAATATATTAATAATTAAAATATCTTATATAATAATACAATAACATATTAAATACTAATATTTAATATCTTGATAATGTATTATATAATAATATAGTTAAATTAATATAATAATTAACAATAATAAAATATAAATAAATTAATAAAAATAAAAAATGGTATTAATATCAATTAATAAAATAATAATGACATAATAATATACTATATAATATTATAATCACTATATTATTATTATTTTTTTAATAAATAATATTTAATAAATTAATAAGTATAGAATATTATATAATAGTAACATATTTAATAATAAAAACAGCAATAGAATAATAATATGATAATAATATATTATGTAGCATATATTATATGAGATTAATGGGTATCGTTGACAAGGAGGGGATTTTCCTCCTTGACAATGATGTGGCACGATCCCCACCATGTGAAGAAGAGAGAATAAAGTAGGAGAGAGAATTGGAGGGAATCCTCCTCCTTGTCAAGGATACCCATTAATCTCATATTATATAGTGAATGTAATATAATATAAAAATTAATATATTACATAATAAATAATATAATATATTATATTATAAATAATATAATAATATAATGTAAAATAATTTATTAATACTAAAACAATATATTGTTGACAAAAGTTAATGTAATATTAATAATATTAATGTTACGGTGTTCATTCACCTAAGATACAATATTCACAAAATGATACGATAAAAGTCCTAGTCAACTCCTAAGAGTTCTAGGCATTTCGACTCCTAATTCGAATATCAAGACATTGGCTCTTTATCAAGATAAGCCCAATGCACAACGACTCCTAAGTCGAATATCAAGCCCTTGGCTCTTTATCAAGATAAGCCCAAGACACAACGACTCCTCAGTCGAATATCAAGTCATTGGCTCTTTATCAAGATAAGCCCAAGGCACAACGACTCCCCAGTCGAGTATCAAACCCTTGGCTCTTTATCAAGGTAAGTCCAAGGCACCACATATGGTCGAATCCTCCAGTACAACTCGACCATCATGGCCAGATTACAAAACCTTGATACATTACCAAAGTATAAACCCAAGGCATAATTATAGAGGTCTCGGCCCCACCGACTCATCAAGCCGGCACCCTGGTGTCGACACAAGAGGCGGTACTAGTCGACACGAAAGACGGTGTCGGCCGACCCTTTATTAAGGATGACCATATTTAAGGTACTCGGCCACTCACTGCATGGGCATTTCTCAGAAACGACTTAAGGGACGTTCCCTACTGTCGGCTAAGTTGAGGACTCAACCCTGGTCTCAAGCCTCTCCCCCCAAGCAAATGTTGACATCTTAGTCCACCTAGAACAAGTCTTATCCAGATATTGGCCTAACAAAGTCTCCATGACTCGTCAGCTCAATCACTTCCCGAAAAATACGGAGATACATCTCCCATAATGAAGTGACTTCCCCTCCAGTCGTCAGTCGATACCTATAAAGCAAGGGACGACTCAGCATGCCCGCGTGCCTTCTGCCATGCTCACAAGTCACTTCCCGTATATCGCGGAGATGCCATCTCCCATGCTAAAATGACTTCCCTTTCAATCGTCAGCCGACACTTGTAAAGAGAGGGATGGCTCATCTTCCAGCTCATGCTTTGTCACCGTCATTCTGCATGGCCGAAATGACCAATCTACCATGAACATCCATGCTATATATGGATATTGTTCACCATCAAGAGAGAGGGAGCCCCCCATGAAATCAAGGCAAGAAAACAAATAACAATCTAACTCTTCTAGTCCATCCAATCCGAGTAATGCACATGGCATAAGAACGCATAGTTCAAAACTCCACTCAAACTCATGTTTATCAACTAACTTGATCGTCGGATGAACCACGGGGGAACCGGTCCCCGCCCTCTCACGAGTTATTTCTATCTATGCAGCGCAGACATCAGACCCTTATTCAAAAACTAGGCGTAAAGTTGGAAAAGGGAACGGGCTCCTCCATCATCCTTCACTACCCCGCAACAATCCTCTTCTGGATTAATTGGCTGTTTGATATCAAGCATCAATAATTAATAATATAATAATATTTATTTATATAATAAATTATTAATATACTATTAAAGTAATTATTAATAGGCTCTAACATATTAGAAACTATAATATATTATATAATGTTGAAATATTTAAAATATACTAGTTTATTAATAATATACTAGCAATAACATAATAATAATCATAATAACATTATTATATATTATTATATATTATTATTATTATTATTATTTTATATTAATAATAAAATAATATTATTTAAAAAGTTGTATAAGATATTGTAGCAACAAATTGATATACCAAAATAATTAGCTATATTTTTATTTGAAAATAATATGTAATAATTATAATATAATATAATACATTAAAGTATAATATAATATTATAATATATTATACAATATTACATTCTATTATATTTACTATTATCGTATATTTAATACTAATATTATAATATGTCAAACAAGTGTTGACGAAAAACACTCAACATGGTGTTTTGATAACACATTAGGGGGAAAACACAATACCATTGTGTTTTTTTTTTTTACAAAAACATGCTATGGAAAACATCATAGTATCCAAATGAAGCCTTAAATTTTAGTTGTTTGTTCGTAATCTTACTAACATGGTAAAATACTGATTTGTCCACCAATCTGTTGACATGTTAAGATAATAAGAAATTCACCCAAAATTCAGCGATTTTACTGGAAAGTTGAAATGTGTCAGTTTAATTAATTAAAAAATAATTTACACAACTATTCCCCCTAGGGTTACATCCGCTCCTCCGTCCGCCTCTTCTTCATTACAAATCTTCTTATTTTTTAACATTTGCCTCTTCTACAATCAAACCCAACGAAGCCCAAATCCTCCATTGAAACCAATATGGAAGTCACCGGAGATTTCAAGCGCGGCAACCTCCAGTCCCTCCCGTCATCCGCCTTTTACATATCAAATTTCTTTCTAGGAGGTAAAATCTTACATACAGTAAAATAAATCTTTTGAATGGAGTTCATATAATATCATTTAACAAATTTGAATTATGTAAGCCAAACAAGATGTTGTTACCATTTTTTGATTCACAAGGATTCCTAGCTAAAATGTAAAAGCTAAACTAGGAATGGGTGAGGTGGATGACCACTTTTCATGTGTTGACATAAATGTTTGCGTTGAAAGTTCGTTTATTTGTCGAATCCATTACACGTTTATCAATTGCAATGAATTCAAAGAGTTAATCTTTTTATAAGACTACCCGCTTACACAAATAAAACAAGAATTACAACTCTCTTCAAACACATGTAGAGCACGTTTATCACCCGTTGCTTGCGTGAGATCTTTGCCTGTGCCGGGGACGCGTTAGTCCGTGGACCATCGCGAATTAGATCTGATTGACAGAATGAAAGTTCAATGCTCCTACTTCATAAAGGAAGTATTCACAGAAGTAAATAATCTCGACTAAGCGAGATTACTACTCTTCTTGAGATCAAAACCAAGTTTGATCCGGAGGAAAGGGGAATGGACCTCAGATCTCTCAACTCTCCCTCTTTTATGCTGAATAACTTTGCTAAGATCTGCTAGCCTCTCTGAAATTCATGGTTCGCTCTACACAGGGACATCACCTCGCCTAAATTTCAGATCATCCGTGTATAGAGGCCCTAGACTTGTATTTATAGGCTTCGGATGTAGCGTTTTAGGATAGGAATTGATGATTTGACATTATCCTCAGTTAATAACCGCTTAACCATGTTTAGGAATAGCCTCAAGGCAGTTAGGAGGCTTTGAAACAAACAAATCTCGAGAAAAAGTGTCGAAAACATGTTTTCGGCATTTCTGGCCGCGAGCCATCCTACGGTGGCTCGGAACTGTGCGAGCCACCTGGCCTTGGACGAGTCGTTTTGATGCGACTCAGCTGCCAGGGGCTTTTCCGGTTTGGTCATGTTCCGTCGTTTTGCGCATTTCGTCGTTCTGTTGACTCGTACGCTTTATTGACTTGCTTCGTGCACTCATTAGCTCTTTTACGGCACGGATAATCCTGTTTGCCTCAGATAATGACGTCCATCGTCTTCTCTTCATTTTGAACTGTGCGCGAAAACCTATAGACAATTTTTGACACCTACAATTAATACCCAACTTTACACAATATATCCAAATAACCCCTTATAGATTGGTACCTCTCAATAATGGATATTGAATAGAACGTCAGTTTGTTAGCGATTATTGTGAGGGGTAGTAGAGTGGCGGCTGGAAGGCGTTGCCTCATAAAAGTAGAGGATAAACTCGCTCCAATTAGTTAATAAAAGTTAATTTCATAAAATCACCCTTGAACTTTAGGGAATTTTATGACTCCTCTCATTTTTATTCATCTCGTATATACTACCTTAACTTTGAGGTGTCGCAC